TCTCAAAAAAAGAAAAAAGACTTAAAAAGGCTCAGCACTTGTAGCTCAGTGGCTAGGATGCCAGCCTTACACACCAGAGCCAGCAGGTTCCAATCCAGCCCAGGCCTGCCAAACAGTGACAACTACAACCAAAAAATAGCTGGGCATTGTGGCAGGCACCTATAGTCCCAGCTACTTGGGAGGCTGAGGCAAGAAAATCGCTTGGCCCAAGAGTTTGAGTTTGCTGTGAGCTGTGACACCACAGCACTCTACCCAGGATGAGAGCTTGAGACTCTGTCTCAAAAAAAAAAACACCTTCCCCGTAGAGGAGGGCTAAGGAACAGGGTGCAGCAGCCCCGGCAGGTCTAGGAGCCATACAGAATGCAGGTTGGTATTAGAGTTTGTACTTTTTTTTTTTCTCTGAGACAGAGTCTCTCTCTATCTCCCTGGGTAGAGTGCCATGGCATTGTCATCTCACAGCCACCTCAAACTCTTGGGCTCAAGCTATCTCATTGCCTCAGCCTCCCAAGTAGCTGAGACTACAGTACCTACCACAACACCCAGCTATTTTTTTCTACTTTTAGTAGAGCCAGGATCTCACTGTTGCTCAGACTGGTTTGGAACTCCTGAGCTAAGGCGATCCATCCTTGGCCTCCCAGAGTGCTAGGCATGAGCCACTGCACCCACCAAGTTTGCACATCCTTGTAGGAAGACTACAGTCCTCCTACATTCTAGCAGTTCTCCCACTGCCCAGAACATTTCTGGAATTCCTTCCACGAAGAGTTATGTTTAACATTCCCAAGAGTGCTGGGCCTGTTTTGATCTTCAACTTGGCTGTTGTCAAAGATCAAATACATCTTAAAATCCCTGACTAAATATTGCAAGTGACAGACGGTAGGAATCCTGCAGAAGTTTCCCAAGAGCTTTATTACTGTTGGGGTTATCTGGCCTTTTGAATCTCTGAGGAAGCAGTGGTCATCTGATCACTTCCAGGTTTGTTAAACAGTCACATTACTTGTAGTCACACCTTGTAGATAAGCATTTTCCAAGAAAGGAAAAGTCCTTCACATCTTGGAGCTCGAGTCCCTCCCCAGCCCTACTGGATCAAATTCTCTAGGACTGAGGCTGGAGTGTGTGTGTATATACACATGTGTCTTAAATCTCCATTAGTAATGTTAATTACTAATTACTGGGAGTGGGGAGCAAAAAATCCAGCTACCACTATTCCAATTATACAGAGGGGAACCTGAGGCCCAGAAAGGGTAGAAAGCCTTCCCAAAGTCACACGGCTAGAAAGTAACAAACCTGTTTCCTGCATAGGACCCCTCTCCATTATATCACTTTGCCTCCTTTTTTTGAATGTCATTATGAATGAATAGTGGAAGCTGGCTCGGCGCCTATAGCTCAACCGGCTAAGGCACCAGCCACGTACACCTAAGGTGGCGGGTTCAAATCCCCAGCCCAGACCCGCCAAACAACAATGACGGCTGGAACCAAAAAATAGCTGGGCGTTGTGGCGGGCGCCTGTGGTCCCAGCTACTTGGGAGGCTGAGGCAAGAGGATCTCTTAAGCCCAAGAGTAGACTCGCTTGAGCCCAGGAGTTGGAGGTTGCTGTGAGCTGTAATGCCACGATACTCTACCCAGGGGGATAGCTTGAGGCTCTGTCTCAAAAAAAAAAAAATAGTGGAAGCTACCATAAATTAAAAGTAACTAAAATTGGATTTCTTTTTTTTTTTTTTTTTCTTTTTTAGCTAGGGTCTCACTCTCCTGCCCAGGCTAGAATGCAGTGGTGTCATCATAGCTCACTGCACCCGAGACTCCTGGGCTCAAGTGATCTCCTGCCTCAGCATTCCCAGTAGCTGGGACTACAGTTGAGTGCCAATACACATGGCTAATTCTTTTAATCTTTATAGAGACAAAGTCTCACTTTTTCTCAGGCTGGTCTTGAACTCCTGACCTCAAATAATCCTCTTGCTTCAGGCTCCCAAAGTGCTGGCATTACAGGCATGAGCCTAGGTGCCTGGCCTCTGAAATTAGTTTTCTAACTTCATTCTTCTACGCCTTTCCTGTCCTTGCTTTGGGAGTGATTATTGACCTTCAGAGTTTTTTGTCTTTGACATCTTTAGGTGGGATTTTGGAGCAATGCAGCCTAATGGCAAGAATCTGGGCTTTGGACTAGCAGGGTTAGGTTTAAATCTTGCCTCCACCATCTTTAAGCAAGACCCCTTTCCTCTTGGGGTTCTGTCTTATTATGTCTAAAATAGGAATAATAGGCTTGACGCCCATAGCACAGTGGTTACTGTGCCGGCCACATGCACCGGGGCTGATGGGTTTGAACCAAGCCCAAGCCTGCTAAACAACGATGACAACTACAACAAAAAGTAGCCGGGCATTGTGGTGGGCACCTGTAGTCCCAGCTACTTGGGAGGCTGAGGCAACAGAATCACTTAAGCCCAAGAGTTGGAGGTTGCTGTGAGCTGTAACACCATGGCACTCTACCAAGGATGACATAGTAAGACTCTGTCTCAAAAAAATAATAATAATAAAATAAAATAGGAATAATAATGCTTACATCTCACTGTTGTAATAATTACAAAATGGGAATTAAAAGTACAGCAGAGTGGCTGGCATGGGGTGCCATGAGAGAGAAAGCAATAACGATTCATTTAAAAAACCAAACTCTTGGCTCAAAGCCTGTGCACAGTAATTATGGCGCTAGCCACATACACTGAGGCTGGTGGGTTCAAAATCGGCCTGGGCCAGCTAAACAACGACAACTACAACAAAAAATAGCTGAACTGGGGTGGCACCTGCGGCTCAAAAGGATAGGGCATTGGCCCCATATGCTGGGGGTAGTGGGTTCAAACCCAGCCCCGGCCAAAAAGAAAACTGTGAAAGAGATAAGGCCATGTGGGTCTCACACAACTTGGCCACTAATCCCAGCACAGTCCCAGGACCACAGACCTACAGGTGGGCTGCCTGGCATCACTTTTAGTGTCCCTGTCCTAAGCAGTGGTTGCTTCTGGGACATTCTTATCTTGCATGATCCTCAGCTCCAGGTAAAATTGAGCATGCGGTAACTGGAAGTCTTGCACTACCCTAGATGTACAAACCCAAAACAAAGCCTCAAGGGTCTCAGAGCACAACAGAGTAGAAAGCTGCCTCTGGGGACCTGAGGAGCCCAGACAAGCAGCAGGAACTGAAGACTATGAGCTGAGGGAGTCTCTGTCTAGGGACTTGCAGCTTCCAGACAGCTTCATCCTCATTACATGTACATGGCTAGTGTGGCAAAGGTAGCTCAGATGGGTCTGAGAGGCTCCAGGTAGCAGAGGTGGGCACAGGAGGGCAAATTCTAGGCTGGCTGAGTCCCTTGAAGGAGATGAGGCTACTATCCCTGGAGGTGCCCAGGCAGAGGAAGACAAACCACCAGGTAGGAGTATTGAGATGAGAAATCAGAGGTTGAATTAGGCAACTTTAAATTTCCTTCCAACCCAAACATCTAAAATTTCAGGTCTCAACCAGGGGCAGTGGCTTGCTCCTATAATTCTAGCACTCTGGGAAGCCAAAGTAGGAGAATCCCTTGAACTCAGGAGTTTGAGACCAGCCTGAGCAAGAGTGAGACCCCATCTCTACTGAAAATAGAAAAACTAGCCAGGCATAGGGGTGCATGCCTATAGTCCCAGCTACTTGGGAGGCTGAGGCAAGAGGATCTCTTAAGCCCAAGAGTTTGAGGTTGCCGTGCACTATGATGCCACAGCACTCTACCCAGGGTGACAGGGTGAGACTCTGTCTCAAATATAAATACAATTTCAGGTATCAGTGTTTCATCTTCTGCCTTTGAGAGGTCTGGGTGGAAAGAGAGCTAGGCCCTGCTGGCAGCCTCTATCCCTGCAAGGACAGTCTTCGTCAGAGTTGTACACCTGCTTCCCCGTCTCAGTTCCAGTTCATGATCCTGGCCTCTAAGCTATGTATAACCTGAAGGCAGTGAGCAGGGGAGGTGAGATGGGCAGGTGTGGCAAGAAGCACACCTGGGAATGGGAGCAGGGATATGGCTGCCTAGAGAATACAGGAAGGGGTCAGAAGACTAACTCCTTCCAAAACCCAGGTGCTCTGGGGATATTTGGTGCCCAAGATGATTTTCCAGATCCAGACCCACTTCCTCCCTCATCCCAGGGGCCTATTTGTGACTTTCCCTGAATTAACATCTTAACGCTAAGAGGAAGTCCCTAGTAGTGAAACAGTACATATTGTTCACCCTTCTTCCAGTCCCCAGCACACACTCAGCCTTGGGATGGGGGTCGGAGGTCAGTGAGCAGGAAGAGCTAGGTTAGTAAGGGAGCCCAAAAGGGTCCTCTAGGAATTTGCAGGTGGCAATGCAGGAAAGGGGCTGGACCAGGTCCTCAGGGCTATCAGCACCTGGAGACCCCTGTGTTCTCCATCTGAGGAAGGCTCAAGTTTGTCTTTTACAGTCCCAGATCATGCCTGGAATTCCTCTGTGGTAATTTTTGGACCCTGTAGTTCTCAAACTATCTCTGGGCAGCTTAGCCACAGATCTTCAGAGCCTGCCAATGGAGGGGGCAGAGAAAGCTACAAGGCTTCCTGCTCCGGCCTGTGTTTTCCTGCTTTTATCTCTGGCAGCAGATGGGGAAAGAGCCTAACAAGGGCCCAGGTTTCCATTCCCCTCATCAAATAGGGCTCACTGATGAGTCAGCACTCATGAGTGCAGATATCAGGGGCCCTCAGCCCAGCTGGGCCTGACCTCTCTGACCTGATGCCTTATGCCATTGATTTGGGCCCCTCCAGAGTCCACCGTCAGCCTCACTGTTCCTCCTGTTGTGAAGCTGGAGAACAACAGTTCAGCCAACGTTAACATCACCCTCGGGTAAGTTCCCTGGCCGGGCTCTGTCCTCGGCCCCCTTCAGAAGCCATGCTGGGTCATCCAGTCTTCCAGTGTGTTCATATTTCATGTGTGACACTCTTGCCTCTTATCTATAACACAAGCTGCAGAAAAAGGGGTTGATGCTAGCCCCAGGCTGCAGCAAGGTCCCACAATCTGACACCTGCATGGAATTCTTACTTCCACGGGGAAGGAAAAGAGGGGGTATTTCTCCCAGAGACATGGGTCTTCTCCCCAACTGAAGAGTCCTGAGTGATCATCAGCTGGTGTTGGACTTCACACTGATCCTTTCCAAGACTCTAAATATTTGAAGAAAGTTGTGAAGGTCAAGGGGCAAGGAGCTGAGCTGCTGATCAGGGCTTCTGAGGTTGCTTCCAAAAGCAGAAATGGGATACTGGGTGGACTTTGATCCTGCTGTGCTCCTGCTTAGCCTTATCTGCGAGTCTTACTTGCTGATATCTGCTAGTTTAGGCCTGAGGGTCTCAACCTAGTCCAGACTGGGCCGGAGAGCCTGCCCACTACTCCTTTGCTCTTGGCTGCTTTGTACTGCTCTTGCCTGCAACCATGAGGGTTCCCTGAAATGAAGATCTGCAGCCTTGTCCTTTACCTTTCTCCCCTTTTCTGACCTCTTCTGGGAGGTCCAATCTCAAACCAAAGCTTTGGTTCCAAGGCTCCCTTGCAGCTCCTACTGTCTCTGAACATCGACACCTTGCAAATATTACAAGTTATCCTCTTACCATGGCTCTCCCCTCTCCAGAACCTTTGAGTGGCCTCCTAGTACCTTCCAAGTTAACTCCAGGCTCTTAGGCCCAGAATTGAGGCTCAGTCAAGGCTGCTCCCATCCAGCATGTCTGCCTTACCCAGTCAGACACATCTCCTGGCTTTCCAGGGACACACACTGCTCCCTCCTCGTTCCCTGCCTGGAAGGTCCTCACCTCTCCTTTAGTCAAATTCCAACCCTTAGGCAAGCACTTTGGGGTACCTATGTGGGAGGATCACTTGAGGTCAGGAATTTGAGACCAGTCTGAACAACATAGCAAGACTCTGTCTCTGCAAAAATATATAAGAATTAGCCAGGTGTGGTGGTGGGCACCTGTAGTCTCAACTACTCTGGAGGCTGAGGCAGGAGGATCACCTAGCAAGACTCTATCTCTGCAAATGAAAAAAAAATACAAAAATTAGCCAGATGTAGTGGTAAGCACCTCTACTCCCAGCTACTATGGAGGCAGAGGCAGGAGGATGGGCTGAACCCAGGATTTAGAGGCTGCAGTGAGCTATGATTATACTACTATACTCTAGCCTAGGTGACAGAGAGAGATCTTGTCTCTTAAAAAGGGGTGGGGGGGGCGGTTCCGTTGGTTCGCCCTTTTATTTTTACCCTTTTGGGTTGGTTGGTTTGCCGGCCTTAGGGGTTTGGGGTTCGGCTTGGGTTGGGGCAGGGCCCATCTCTAAAAATAGCCAGGCATTGTGACAGGCTCCTGTAGTCCAAACTACTTGGGAGGCAAAAGGATCACTTGAGCCCAAGAGTTTGAGGTTGCTGTGAGCTGTGATGCCACAGCACTCTACCTAGGTGACAAAGTAAGATTCTGTTTCAAAAAAAAACCAGATTCTGACCCTCACTTAAAGCCCTGCTCAGACCTGACATGCTCTGGGAAGCCTTTTTTACCTGAGCAATGAGCCGTGGTCCTGTCCACCTCCAGATTCCTCATTTGTCATTCAGAGCCACTTTGCTCTGTTCTGTTTTCACTCTACCCCAAAGGGATATCCAGTCTCCTGCCAGAAATAGAAATTGCCTAAGGAGCAGTGGTTCCACCTCTACCCCTGAGGGCTGAGCATGTAGCATTCATTTCCTAACCATAATCTCTTGAGAAAGGAAACCCAGGTGTGATATCCAGAGGGTGGGTTGAGATAATAGGGAGTCCAGCTTCTCAGCAGTAATCAGACTCTTGTCCTCCACAGGCAACCATTAAATGCAACCTTGGTGATCACATTTGAAATCACGTTTCGTTCGAAAAATACCACTATCCTTGAGCTCCCTGATGAAGTAAGTACCAAATTTTTACTGATAGGTAGGGAAATGGTAGGTAACAAAACACATTTAAGTAAGAGCTTGTGGTAATATATTGCCTGGACTGCCCCTATTCTAGCATCCCAGAAATCTATGAGGTGGGTTTTGTTGATCTCTTCAGGGATAAACATTATATGCCTTTTAGATGGAACTAAGAACGTGATGGTAAAACCTGAGGCACAAGGGATTTTGAGAATGTAGAAGTTCTTACAATAGCTTTCTAAGACCTTGCTACTCAAAGGGCATGCTTCAAAACCTTTTAGAAACAGAGTCGTAGGCACCATCCCAGACCTGCTGATTCCGAGTCCACATGGTAGCAAGATCCCTGATGCTTTGGGTCCATATTAAAGTTTGTGAGGGACTGTTCTGAGAATCCAGTGGCCGGGTCCAGTAGTGCATATTCACAGCTTTATGCATGTATCTGTTTGTATATATCCTGCTTCCACCTTAACAAGGATTTGAACCAGGTGCCATTCTGCTGGATAAAAAACATCCAGAGGAGTGTAAATCAGGATTTAAAAAACAAACAAAATGAATCAAAGTCAGTTAGGATGAAGAGCTTCTCAGATCTATTGTATAGCATGGTGACTATAGTTAGTGTCCTATGTATTTGAAAATTGCTCAGTGGGGTAGATCTTAAATGTTCCTACTGCAAGAAAATGGTAAGTATGGCTGGGTGCAGTGGCTCACACCTGTAATCCTAGCACTCTGGGAAGCCGAGGCCAGTGGATTACTTGAGCTCAGGCGTTCAAGGCCAACCTGACCAACTTGTCCCTTCTGAAAATAGAAAAAAACTAGCTGTACATTTGGAGCAGGCACCTGTTGTCCCAGCTACTGGGGAAGCTGAAACAAGAGGATCACTTGAGTCCAGAAGTCTTAAGTTTGCTATGAACCATGCTGTCAGAGCACTCTAGCCTGGGGCAACAGAGTGAAACTCCATCACAAAAAAGAGAAAGAGAGAAAGAAGTGTGTGAGCTGATGGCTATGTTAAATAGCTTGGGTTTTTTATTTTATTTTATTTTTTTTTTTTGAGACAGAGTCTCACTATGTTGCCCTGGGTCAAGTGCCATGGTGTCACAGCTCACAGCAACCTCAAACTCTTAGGCTTAAGCGATTCTCTTGTCTCAGCCTGGAGAAGCTGGGACTGCAGGCACCCCGCCACAATGCCCGGCTATTTTGTTGCAGTTGTCGTTGTTTACCTGGCCCAGGCTGGGTTTAAACCTGCCTGCTTCAGTGTATATGGCCAGCACCGTAACCACTGTGCTACAGGCGCCAAACCAAATAGCTTGGTTTTAATCATCTCATAATGTATACGTGTATCAAAGCACGACATTGCACCCTGTAAACATATACAATTTTTATTTATCCATTATACCTTAATAAAACTTGGAGGGGCTAAGATAGATGGCTATGTCAGGAAGCCCTGGGTCCCTATAGAGATGGGCTGCAAATCAGCCCTGAGCCCCTTAGCAAGCAAATAATGATCAGTCCCAAATGTTTCTGTGATCTGAAAAATAGATTGCTGAGAGAGGTGGCGCTCCTTCCCTGATGAACACTAGACCTCATGAGATAGTGCATGACCTATGGCTCCCTTTCCTGCCCCAGAGTCTGAGGCCGGCAGTCTGGGCAGGGCAAGGGAGACCAGTGCTGGTTCTCACAGCTGGTCCCAGCACATAGCCCTCTGACCTACTGGCAGAACAGATTCATAGGGCCAAACACCTAAGTGAAAATATCATCTTTTAAAAATCAGTGAAAGGGGCGGCACCTGTGGCTCAGTGAGTAGGGCACCGGCCTCATATGATGAGGGTGGTGGCTGGTTCATACCCAGCCCTGGCCGAACTGCAACAAAAAAATAGCCGGGCATCGAGGCAGACGCCTGTAGTCCCAGCTACTCGGGAGGCTGAGACAAGAGAATTGCATAGGCACAGAAAGCACTCAATGAAAGGTAGCAATTATTTCAGTCTGTCTTGTATCGGTCAATTTCTGATTGACCGATTTTTCTCCCTGCCTGGTTCCAGAAGGGATTTAGTGGCCACTTACAAATATGCAAACAACATTGCAAGGAAAATCTATTAAAAATGAAGGGATAAGAAAATAAAGAGCCAAGAGTGGTACATCTCATGAAGACACAGCTTGCAAGATGTGGAGAATAGATTAGGCTCCAGTTACCCCATTTCATTTGTTCTGCTAAAGCCCCCTGATTTCTTGTGTTAAGATCAAAAAGCCAGCACTTTCAGGATCTCAATCACAAGCCACAGCAATCTAATGAGCTGAATCCTCTTGATACCTGCAGTGTGGGTGGAGGGCAGGACATAGAATGTTATCAGGGGAGACACTCTGGTTCAGTAAAGCCATCCTGCTCCCTGTCATTCTGAGGGGATCTGAGAGTAGCAGAAAGAATGGGTGGGAGCTCATATGTTACAGGCAGATCTCCAATTTCTTTATCACGGAGCAGAGCTTTTGATAAATATTGGGCAGAAACAGGGATGGAAATGTTCTCTTTGTTAAGTATCTGGTATATGCATTTCTTCTGTTTTGTCACTTGGCAGCCAGGCTGGGTATGGGGCAGCCATGTGTCTGGATATTGAGGAGCCAGATAAAGATGGAGGAGCAGTAACAGTAGTTGTAGTACAGTGGCGATTGGAAGCACACACAGCCTTCAGTGTGCCAGGCTATGTACTGTAAGCTTTATAGATATTCTGTCATTCATAGCAACCCTGAAAGGTAGACACTTTTACTAATCCCTTTTACAGATGAGCAAACTGAGATCAGAGCTTGAATAACTTGCTGAAGGTCGCGTGCTAGTGAGAGGAAGCAAGCATCCCACCTTCTCTCAGAGATAAGCCAGGGGAGGGCCCGAGGACAAGGCCATAGCTCTGCTCCAAAAGTCTGACACAGATGTGTTAGAGGTTCGAGTTGGCTGCTGGGCCCAGTGTTTCTCCCCCTGGTTAGTAAGCTCAGGGAAGGCAGGACTCATGGGTGGGGGATGCATCCCCGTGTTCCCCAATGCAGAGCCTGGAGCTAGACACTCAGTGGAGCCCTCAATAACGTGCTGGGCGTGGGATCCAATTCAGTCCTTCTAACAGGTTGTGGTGCCTCCTGGAGTGACAGATTCCTCTTTTCAAGTGACGTCTCAAAATGTTGGACAAGTTACTGTTTATCTGCATGGAAATCATTCCAACCAGACTAGGTAAGCTGGCCTAGCCCACGAGGGCCTTACATGGTGAGAAGGGAGGCAGTGCAGGGAACATGGGGGTTTTCTTTAGAAGATCAGCCTCAGCTCATCCCGATCCCCAAATGCCTTTCTAGCCCAAGGATACGCTTCTTGGTGATCCACAGCAGCATCGTGAGCATCATAAACCAGGTGATTGGCTGGATCTACTTTGTGGCCTGGTCCATCTCCTTCTACCCTCAGGTGATCATGAACTGGAGGCGGAAAAGGTAACCTGCAGGGCTGTGTGTACAGCATGACTTGGGGCCCATAAGCAGGAGGCATTCCAGCCAGGCTGCAGGCTGCACAGCATCAGAC